GGAGGAATTTGGGGGAGGCAGAGACTGGTAACAGAAGGAAGTTGGAGAGACACACACAGAGAGAAAAACCCGGGAGAGAGAAGGGGACGGGGACGGAGACCCGGAGAGAGGAACCCAGGGACGGAGTGGGGGAGGGCTGGGGTAAGGGGGAGGAGGGGGGGTCGGGAACTGAGTAACAGAAGGGAAGGAGGACCAGGGACAGAGTCATCCAGAGAGGAGGAAGGAGAGACAGATGGGAGAGACAGACAGAGGGACAGAGGATGGGGGAGAACTGGGAAGAGGGGAAGCAATGGAAAGGGGGAGGGGGAGAAGCGGGGAGGGGGCAAGGTCTTGGTGGAGAGAGGGTGACTGACGGGAAGAGAGAGTAAATAAGGAGAGAAAATTAGGGGAGAGGGCTCTGGGTGACAGAAGGTGCCTGAAGACAGAAAGCCAGGTGCAGAAGGAAAGAGAGACCCAGAAAGAGAGACAGATGGAGAGAGACTGAGACTGGAGAGAGACCCAGAGACCCAGAGACAGGCAGAGACTGGGGGAACACCACAGGGAGCCCGAGAAAAATAAAGGAGAGGGGTCCACTCAGAGGCACTGAGGGGGCCAGAGACGCAGGGTACCTGCCCCTCCCCCCTCGCGTCCCCCGCCCCTGAACCCTACCCCCACCCCCATTTCAAAGCCACCACCCCCACCCCCACTAGCCTCCATCTCTCAGCATCGCTTGCCGCCGCCACCGCCTCTTCCTGTCGTCATGGCAACAGGATCCAGGCGCCCAGCCAAGGCTGGCAGCCGCGGCCGGAAATGAGGGGAGGGCCTTTTAAAAAGGACCCCAGGAAAGCTCCCCTTTCCCCCAATCCAAGGAAAAGCTCAACTTTTCAGGGTCTTTCCACCTCCTTCCCCAAGTAGCCAGGGCAAAGATCCTGCCAAGACTCGAATCCGATTGAATCCGTAAGGATAGAGAGCATTTTGACTTTCACCAACAATTCTTTCTCCTTGCACCCCCTACTGATGGATGGGGAGGAAGGGGTACAGTTAGAGTCCCCCCAACATGGGGCTGGGGCTGGGGAGGAAAGTGGCCTGCGACAAGCTGTGGAAACACTCTTTCCTGTGGGCCCGGCCCAGAGCTGCCCAGCCAAGGGTTTCCAGAAGGATACACGTGTCCWCCCCGGAACTAGCCACCAACAGGGCTGGGACAGGAGGGCAGTCAGAAAGTTCGGTCTCGGTCTGAATCTCAGGGATGTCCCTGCGCCACTGTGTGACCTTGGACAGAGCACTYGCCGCCGGCGCCTAAACTCAGTTGTTCCCAGCGACAGAGGGGCAGAGGGGACCAGCTGCCTCCAGTTAGTGGAGCACCCTGAGGAGGAGGGCGTCCCTAGGTAAGCAGGTTTCCCAGGACTGCCCCCCAAGCAAATGTCATAAAAAACAACGTAAGGCCGTCTTCACCTTCAGCTGGGCAGCCTGCGGCTCCGGTCTCTGGTGGAATTGTGACAGAGTCCTTTCTGCACGGTGAGCAGCCAGACTCCCATGTCATGGATGAGCAAACTGAGGTCCCCATGTATGATCCCTCACCCAGGAAATTAAAAAGAGGCAGAGCCGGGGACCAAGCAGCCTCTTAACAGGGAGTAACTGGGGCAGGGGTGGCCAGCAAGAGGTGAGTTGTGAAGCCCTCTGGCCCCACCCACCTCCTGGGGCTGGCCTGTGCTCCTCTTGGTGCTCTGCTCAGCGTCTGTACCGCTGCTGGCCTCTTCCATGTCTGTCAGTACCCAGTGGCTCCCGCGCCCACTGGTATTTCTTTAGCTGAGTTCACTTGATTCTCACTGTGCCCTGAGAAGGATGGGAGTTTCAAGAAGCATTCAGACACCACTGGTTTWGAAGCAAAGAAAAACAGTCCCTGAAGGAAGGGACCTGGAATGTACTCATCCTTTCTTCTGCCAGGGAGAAGACTCCAGTAGGGAACAAGGTGGCTGCCATTACACACTCGGAAGCTTGCAGGCATCAGCCCAGACCTCAAAGGGTTAGGGCTCTGTTATTGACCGCTGTTTGGAAGATGTGGAAACTGAGGCTGAGAGAGGCTGGCATGTGCTGTAAGTAGTGTCAGTGCACGTCACAGTCGGGGCATCGGATGACCTTACAAGCCAGGGCTCCTCAACCTCAGCACTGCTGATATCTGGGACTTCTCTCTCCTAGGGGCTTTGTTGGGAGATTTGCATGCTGTGCCACCCGCTCACTTGCACTGGGTCACTTGATGCCTGTTAGTTGCAGAGGTGTGCTACCATCAACTTAAATCAACTTCAGGACAATCTCATTAGCTCACAGAAATGCCAGTCCCCCCTCAGCCATCACCCACAATCTCCTCCAGCCCCAGGCAATCCGCGCACTTTCTCTCTACAGAGTTCCCTGTTCTGGGCATTTCTCAGAGGCAGAGTCACACGGTTTCGTTCAGCCCAGTCCTCTAGATTCACATGTTGCAGCATGTGCCAGGGCTTTGTTCTGCTTCATGCCTGAGTAATATTCCACGGCATGGACTTACCACACTTTATCCATTTGTCTATCACAGGCCCCAGGATTGCCTCCGTGTTGGGGTGGTATGAATCATGCTGCTGTGTGCATTAGAGTACACATTTCCTTGTGGATGTGTTTTTGCATCTCTTAGGCCTGAGCCTAGGGGTGGAATCGGGGGTCGAGTGTTCACCCTTTCCAGCACTCCCGCACAGCTCAGGGACGATGCTTCAGAGGCACCTCAGAGAAGCTGCAGGTCACTGGCTCCCTTAGACTTGCCCCTATGTTTGCTCATGAACTCACCTGACCTGTGCCATGGCCTCCCTGTGGGTCTTGCCCAGGGACCTGGAGATGTGCATTCAGACAACTAAGTTGGCCAGGCCCCCACCCTTGAGAAGGTCCTCCATCCTCACCTCCACCAGGGGAGGCAGATGCCTACCCTCAGGTACGTGTGTAGAATCCACTCCTCGTGAGTGTGGGAAAGGGCTCTGAATAGGATGGGATGACATCATATCCATGATTCAGTTACAGCTGACCCTAAGCTGATCAGAAAGGACTGTCTGGTGGGCCAGACTTAATCTGGTGATCTCTTAAAAGAGGGTCTAGGAATCAGAGAGATCTGAAGCAGACGAGAGTCCCCTGATGTCCGTGAAGAAGCAAACTGCCACACTGTAGAGAGGGCTGAGACCTGAGAGGCAACAGGAGCAAGAAAATGGGCCTCAGTCTTACAAACATAAAGAATTGAATTACAGCAGCTTGAAAGCAGATCTCTCTCCAGTCGGGCCTTCAGATGAAAACACTCTCGACTGTACACCTGGTAAATCACCTTGATTTCAGGCCTTAGAGGCCACAAGCAGAAGACCCCAGCCCGCGGCTGGACGCCTGACCCTGGGAACCTGCGAGACAATAAATAGGTGTTGTTTAGAGCCTCCAGCCGGTGGGGACCTTGGGTGAGGAGCAGACCCTGTGGATCACATTGTACTGTCAAGGTCACTCCTGGGTGCTCTGCAGCACCTCTGCCATTCCTGACACCACACCCAGGCAGGTCCCGCAGAACCCCAGGCAGAGGTGTGCAGACCTCAGGCAGCCCTGTGTAGACCCCAGGCAGCCCTGTGTAGACCCCAGGCAGAGGTGTGCAGACCCCAGGCGGCCCTGTGTAGACCCCAGGCAGAGGTGTGCAGACCCCAGGCAGCCCCTGTGTAGACCTCAGGCAGTACTGTGTAGACCTCAGGCAGCCCTGTGAAGACCCCAGGCAGCCCTGTGAGACCTCAGGCAGAGGTGTGCARACCCCAGGCAGCCCCTGTGTAGACCTCAGGCAGTACTGTGTGGACCTCAGGTAGCCCTGTGTAGACCCCAGTCAACCCTGTGAAGACCCCAGGCAGCCCTGTGTAGACCTCAGGCAGCCCTGTGTAGACCTCAGGCAGCCCTGTGTAGACCCCAGTCAACCCTATGTAGATTTCAGGCAGTACTGTGTAGACCTCAGGCAGCCCTGTGTAGACCTCAGGCAGCCCTGTGTAGACCCCAGTCAACCCTATGTAGACTTCAGGCAGTACTGTGTAGACCTCAGGCAGTACTGTGTAGACCTCAGGCAGCCCCTGTGTAGACCTCAGGCGGCCCTGTGCAGACCTCAGGCAGACCCTGTGTGGACCTCAGGCGGCCCTGTGCAGACCTCAGGCAGCCCTGTGTAGACCTCAGGCAGTACTGTGTAGACCTCAGGCAGCCCCTGTGTAGACCTCAGGCGGCCCTGTGCAGACCTCAGGCGGCCCTCTAAGAGCCCTCCTTCCTGGGTTCTCGAACTTCTGCTCCCTTGCCCTGCTCTCGCAGGGGCTGTGCCTGCACCCCACGGCACTGGTCGCCTCTGGGCTCATTTCCACACAGTCCCCAAGGACTTTCTGCGGTTCAGGGCTGACCCTGTCCCGCCTCTGCCAGCAGGGACAGTGGAAGGCGCCTGTCCTCCCGGACGCCAGCTGCCGTGCTGCATCTCCTGGGCCTCCTGCACACGGTGGTCTTAGCCCTGCGGGGTCCTTCCCACTGGGGGGCTCGCTGTGTGGCTCCCTGCCTGGAGCCTGCCCTCTCTCAGCCCCGTGGAAGCCCTTCCTCCACCGCAGAGGGTCAACCTGAGCGCTCCCTACGCCAGGAAGCCTGTGCCCCCCGCCCTGTCCCTCAGCCCAGGGACGGGCACAGACCTCTGTCCAGGGTGCCTGAAGGAGGGAATGGCCCTCCCTGGCGGCCAGCCCCGCCTCGTCCCCACCCGCCGCGTCCCCTTCCTCTCCCCAGGTGTCGGAGCGGTTCGTCAGCAGCAGCTGGGCCTTTGTGTTTTCTCAAGAGGAACCGGGCGGCGTGGCTCCTCTTCCTGCTGCACCCGGAGGAGATGATCAGCATTTCTCAGCCGTCCTTACTCGGGGTGAAGTGGAAATCTTCCAGCGCCAGGGACCCGGAGGCCTGAGCTTCCCTCCTCCCCTCCTTGCCTCTCCAGGGGACAGAGCCTGGCGGGTCCCCTCGGAAGGGGAGACGCACTTGGTGCTGTCTCTGGGGACGGGATGCCCTGGGGTGGTCATTCCAAAGTCACACAACCAAGGAATTCTAGCAGAGCCTGGGGGTTCCAGGGAAGCCCCTGAAATCAGGTACAGACTTTTGTGAGAASGGGCGTATTTTTCCTAGGGGCCCCAGCCTTTCTCTGATTCTCARAGGAGCCCCTAATCCCTGCACATTAAGAACCACCGCTCCTCACTCAGCTTAGCAATATTCCTCTTGTGTTATAAGAATACAGATGGGGGAGTGGCACTCAGCTGCAGGTCGCCTAGCAGGCCTGAGGCCCTGGGTGGGAAGGGTGGTGGGGACAAGGTCCAGCCTGGGTTTTCCCAGACTTGCCTCTCCTGGGTAGGAGTTCAGGGACACCAGGATGGCCAAGAAGCTGCAGGAGGACAAGACCAGGAGGCGTCCCTGTTTACAACAAATCCCATTACCATGACAACTCCCACCACCRAGGACGTCACCATGACAACTTCTGCCACAGGTTCAAACTTTAAAATGACCAATGGAAGTAAAGTGGGCAGCATGCTAATTAGTTTTTCTAAAGTAGCCAATGGGAAGGAGGAATTGGAAACTATTCTAATCGGGTATATCAAGGTGACCAATGGGAGCAACTTGGGTAAGGTCTTCCATCAGGCCCCCACAGGGCAGAGGAGGCCCCAGGCTCAGGATATAAGACCCTAATTCAGGACACTGGGGTCTCTCCCTCTCTCTCTCTGCCTTCTCTGCTCCACTCYACCTAACAGAGCCCTATCTTCACCTTCGTGACTTCTGTGTGTCTTGCTCAGTTCCTGGTTGAGGAAGCCAAGGGCCTGGACTTTGACTGGACATCCCAGGGGTACCAGCTTTTGTCCCTTTTCCTTCTTCACCATGCAGAGTGCCTTGTAGGGCACACACTAGATGCCAGTAGGACACCCCAAATATGCCCACATGTTGCCAGATGTGACCTGAGGGCAAGGTCACCCCACCAGGGGACCAGGGACATAGAGGAGAAGCCACCAGCAGGGAGCTATTGCTCTGGAGGTGAGGCTGGGATTGCCAAGGTGGCAAAGCCAGGCCACCTTCCCCTTCCCACCCTCTCTGCTGCTGAAAGTTTAAACTCGAGATCAGGTGTCAAGACATGTAATAATAATGAAATGAATGACTGTTAAAATAAATCACCTCCGCGCAGCGGACCACTGCATAGCCATTCAAAGAAGAGGCTGGGACTGGGGTGGCAGGCTCAGGGGCAGAGCCCTGTGACAGGCCCAGGGCTCCATCCCCAGCACCACAAAAGAAAAGAAAGTGAGATAAATCTCTACATCTGATGTTTTTCCTGTACACACTTCAAAAACACCACTTGTGGCTGGGGATGGGGCTCAGTGATAGAACACTTGCCTACCGTGTGCCAAAGTCCCTGGAACACACACACACACACACACACACACACACACACACACACCCTGAGTGTGTGTTAATAGCTGTGGATATTTCACATGCTTTACATGTCTTAGTTTGAAATAAAGATTTATTTTATTTTACTTTATTGCAGTGCTGAGGATAAAAAATAAAAAATGTAAATGTATAATTTAAATATGTGTTTGATACATAAAATAGTAAAGTTAGAGCATGCTGACATAAGTAATGTATTTTAAAGAAAAATAACTATGGTTTCCAATACAAAGAAAATATAGAGTGTTATTGGTTAATATTATTAAAAATCGACTCAATGTTTGGCCTGATAGAGGAAAGTAGGATTCCTGCCTATGTGTTGAATCTACTGTGTTCTGATTTATCATGAAACTTCCAGACACTATTTCCTGAGAGAATAAGGATGAAAAAGAAAAATAATATCTTAGTATTGTCATAAAAATGGTTTCAATGTTGTGGTTCTCTTAAATGGGTCCCAGGGATGCCCAGGGACCCTGGGTCATACTTTGAGAACCACTGATGTATAACATGGTTTGTAAATAACACAAGTGTGTAAATAATATAAGTGTGTGAAAAATGGTCACAGATAAACTGGTGGAATGGTGAGACTTCATTATACATGGTTAGAGCTCAGTGGGGAAGCATTGTAGGCTCAGGAGACTCCAGGATTCAAATTTTAGTTTGGCCATTTTCTAGCTGTGTGACCAAGAGAAAATTAATAAACCTCTCTATGCCCTGGAATCTCATGTGTAAAATGAAGATGATAATAAGAGTGTCAAACCTCCTTGGGTTATGGAATGTAAGGTGTTTAGGACTTGAATACAAAGTGACTGGCACAGAGGAAACACCTGATAAATTATGCAACTAATTTATGCAAACTATTATTATTAAGCATTCTTGGAAAACAGTCAGGTAACAGTAGTGAACTGATACTCAATGAGCTCTATAATACATGACATGTGAAATCAGAAGGTACAGAACTACGTGTGCTCCCTAATATAATGACATTATGTCAAGTAGATGTGCGTATGTTACACCCTCCCTTATAAGTGGATTTAAACACATGCATATATGCTTGAATATACATAGTATATTCCTGAAATATGTTCCAATATTGGTATATTCAGGTTTACTTTAGATAAACAATGTAGAACTTTTCTTGACTTTTTAAAAATAAATAAATCTTTATGGGATCCTATTCCATTTTTAAAAATGTAAAAAACAAAAATAAAAAAAAACCTTGCTTAAGTTTTTGATTTTTTTTTTTTGTTTTTAAATGATTTTTTTTCTTTGGCTTATTATTTAAAAAGAACATGAGCTATAGGATTTCAAGTTGTTTGGTCTCAGACAGAGTCAGCAAAGATCCAGCACTTGCAACACCAAAACTCCTGCTGCAGGCAAGGCAGGCAGCACCAATCGATCAGCACGACAGACAGCACCAATCAATGGGGACTTCTTCCCCACTGAGCAAATGTTCAGAATCCTTCTAATACTGTGCTCCAAGCAGTCACTATGAATCAATTAGTCTTAACAAAGAAGCTGAAATGTATTTGCCATTGCAAACCTCAAGCATGACCTTCAGAAATTCCTGGAATCATGAAAAATGACTCAGAATATTTCCCTCCGGGAGTCTGACCCTGCTGAACATGAGTTCTTTCCCGAGAACCTATTCACACCGCCCTTCCTGTTCCAGAGGGATTTGGAATCATTCTAAACCATCCCCCTCATTTTTTTTTTTTTTAAACAGGAAAGGAAGCCAAAGCCCCAGAGATTAAAAGACTTGCTCAAGGTCACAGAATGAGTTTGCATCAGATCTGTAGTCATAAATTACAGCAGCTAGTAGACTTGACTCTGGGGTTAGATGTGCCTGGGCACGGATTCTCTTTTGCATTTTACCAGCTGGGTGACCTCATTTTCCCTGCACCTCAGTTTCTTCATCTATTAGATGGGGAGACTGGGATGCCTAGTTCAGGGGAGGTGGGAAGCTCCAAAGAGCTAATAAATAAAAAGTGCTCAACTCATCCAGGAATGGGGCTGTGATGTCACCAACTGTGGTGTGATTCAGAGGTGCTTCTTATTGCCCCTCAAGAGGCTAAATTTAGACATGGCAAAGAATGAGGGGCTGGCCCTATTCTTCCTGTCCAATACACTTGAAGAATAAGTTTTCTGGGGCTGAGTGTGTAGCTCAGCAGTAGAGTGCTTGCCTACGTGTGGGAGGCCCTGGGTTCATTCCCAGCACTGGGGAAAAACAATCTCAAGAATAAGCTTATCCAACGTCTAGGTTGCTCCCAGTCCCTCACTATAGTGGGGGAGACCATAGAGCTTGGAGCCTATTTCTGAGTCTCCTTCCCTCACCTGCAAAAGCAGAGTGATAATTCTTCCACACAGGCTGCTGTGAGTGCCTAAGGGATCSTGCTCAGGAGGAAAGTGTCTGGCTTGTGGTGTGTGCAACAAATGGCAGCAGTTGTTTCTCCACAGAGTGACAGAGCCAAGCATTAGGGAGCCGAGTGCTCCCTGGTGAAGGCGAAGGAAGTCAAGTTCAGAACCAGATGGATGGACTTGTGTCAGCCAGAGGCTTTGTTGATTTCTGTGTGATCCTGGGTGAGTCCTTCACCTCTCTGGACCTATCTGCACAGGAGAGGCCAATCAAGCCCCTGTGAGGCTTGGGAGAGCTGCAGGAAGCAGCGGAAGTAGAAAGGCAGGCAGTAGTAACAGCATTGGGAGTGAGGATCGTCATACCATGGGAACTTTTATCAATCCTGACCCAAGTTACTTGCTGTCCCCATACTTAACACGACCCAGTGAAAGTGCGTCTGTTCATTAGGATTATTAAGTCCCCTAAAACCACTCTAACCTTATTCTGCAGCGCTATAAGCCCCCTCCCTCTGGACAAGCAAAGACGTGTTTGAAATAAAGTTTATTGAAGTTTCTGTCGATATTTACATATGATACACGGTAAATAACAGAGCCAGGCCCCCCACCCCACCCCTTTCCCCACCTCCCAGGCCCCCCTCCCCCCAGCCTCATTAAAAATCGCTGCGTAAAGACAGGTTAACTGCTGCGGGCCCCCCTCCCCCCTCCCCCCAAGATGCAAACTAAAAGCCCCCGTCCCTCCCCTGCCCCCTCCCCCAACCCCGGGGGGCCATTCTGGTTCCGTGTACAACACTGTGCTACCTCGCCCCTCCTCCCCTAATAAGGGGGGTTGGGTGATTTCCTGGTGTCCTCCCCTTTTCCCCCATCTGTCCATGGGGGCGGACGGGCCCTTAAAAGAGGCCAAAGTTGGGGGGTGTGAGATGGGAAGRGGGACATCAATGAGAAGTGCCAGAAAATGGAAGACAAAGGTTTTGGGGGGTGTGGACCCCCGCTACTGCCCCTCCCTCCCCCGACGGGGCCTCGAGGGGGGAGAGGCGGGCACAGGTGTGCAGATGGCGTGGGGAAGGTCCCTCCACCCTAGGGTCCCCACCCGTGTCTTTCGGAGAGCGGGGCTGGATGCACCGAGGGGCTTGGGATGTGCAGGTGGAGGGAGGAAAGGGGGCGGGGGGGGGGCGGAGGAAGAAAGGCCAAGGACAGTTGGGAAAGCTAGAAGACCGGCTGGAACCCTAGAAGGAAGTCACCTTCAGGAGGCAGGAAAGGCCCAGCCAGCGAGAAAGAAAAGGGGCTCGGAGGCGCAGAGAGAGGGGGTGCAGAGACCGAGCGAGCCCTGTCTGCGACCTCCAGCCCCAGCCGACCCGGAGCTGTGGGCGGGTCGGGAGAGGAGTCGGGGCGCAGGGGAGAAGATGACCGGCATTCCTGGCGGCTGCCGAACCCACTCTCCAGCCCAGCGCCCCTGCAGTGAAGCGGCTCTGGCTGGGCTCGGGGGTGCTGGGCTCGCTGACCGGGTGAAGGGGCGGGGCTAACTGTCTGGGCGTGGCCGTATGCGGCTGGAGACCGGAGGGCGRGGTCATTTTCAAGTGGAAGGAACCAATGAAGGGGAGAGGTCAGGAAAGTGGGAGGAGCCATTGAAGAGAGGGCGGGTGGCGGGGCGGGGCCTAAAGGTGGAGCAGCTTACTCTGGCCGGAGTATCCCTGGCCGGGGCTGCGGTCCAGGGCGGCCGGCGGGGAGGGGTAGGGCGAGGGGCGAGGGGATGCTCCGAGCAGCCGCGCCTCAGCAGGGCGAGGTGGAGATGTGCAGGTGGTCGGGGTACTTGATGGCGGGAGGGTAGTTCTGCGTCATCTGGATAGAGACGTCGCTGGAGATGTCCGACGGGCTGCGGCCCCGGCGCCACGCCTCGGGTTGCAGAAACTGGCCCGAGTAGTCGGAGCAGTCGCTGAGACGCGGACGGTAGAAGGCGGGGTGCGGGCGGTACATCTCCTCCTCCGCGTAGCGCTTGGTGAACAGGTACACCGACATCACGCCGGCCCCCTGCGGCAAGGCACCRTCAGAGTCCAGGGGCGCTCCCAGGCCTCTTACCCGAGCTCAGTCCCCTCCTCTCGCAGAACCCAACAGTCAAGGCTCCAGTCCGCTCTTCCCCCAAGCCCGTGGAGCTCAAGCCCTCAGGCACCCCTTCTTCCAGACCCGGGAGAACCAGTCCCCATTCCTCACCAGGACCCCAGGAGCTGGAGTCCCCAGATCCCTCCTCTCCAGGACCCAGGGGTTAGGCCCCCCCCCCCCAGTCCCTCCATCTCCCTCATCACCCAGAGCCTACATCCCAGCCTCCTCGTCCTCCTGGCCCCAGGAATCAGGCCCCCTATACCCTCCCCCCTTGACCCTAGAGTCTGGGCCCCACCGACATCACCTCTTTGAGCAGGAAAGAGGAAGCCGCGAAGGCAAAAGACCACCCGTAGCGGTAATGGAAGTATTGCTCGGAGCTGCTGGGCCTGTTCATGACCTCGTCGTTGATGCTGGAGATGTAAAGGACCAAGCCCACCACCAAGGAGAGGCCTAGGGGGAGCAGAGCAGGTGCCCTCCTGCATGAGGAAGTGGAACCCCAGCCCCACAGCACTGCCTTCCCTCCCCCCACATCCAGGACCCCCTGGGCTGGACCTAGATGAGGTGCAGGGAGTCTGAAGAGGAACCAACAACCTCCTCTTCACCCTACCTGGAACCCGCCACCCAGAGTCTCAGTGCAGCTGGGAAAGCTAAAGATGGACACCAGCCAACAATCACAAGCAGGGTGATATGAGCTATGAGGCATGAGGAACTGAGCTCTGTGGGTCCAGAAGAGGCCCAAGGCCACCTGGGGCAGGACCAAGGGAAATCCAGGAAAATTTCCTTTGTCCAAGTCCTAAAGGATGAGCCCCAACCATTTCCTGGCAGCGGGAACAGCATGGGCAAGATTTGATGGGGGGCACACCGAGCTAGTCTATCCTACAACATGGGCAACAGCCACAGAATTGAGGCTAGAGAAGGGAGCAGGGACAAGGTCCTGATAGGCCTTGAATGCCAGGCTGAGGAGCTGAGCATGATGCCAAGGGTACTGGGGAGCCATGGCAGCTTGGGGCAGAGGAAGGACACAGCCAGATCAGTGTTAGAAGACCCTTTCAGGGCTTTGGTGTTGGGAACAGATGGGCAGAGAGTCACTGGAGTTGTGATATTCTATGGGGAAGAGAACGAGGCCTGAGCTGGAAAGAAGTGACAGCACCATTGATACTAGCAGCTACTTATGTGGGTTTTGGTCTGTGCTAGGTGCTGTTCTCAGCATTATATAGAAAGTAACTCATTCAAAACTCAAAACAATCCTTTGAAGTAGACACATTTTATCACCACTTACAGCRGAAGAAACAGAGGCACATGGAGCGTGTGGAGAAGTCTGGCTTGAGAATTTCAAAAGGCAAATATCACTTTCCTAATATGAACTCTGCTTTTAACAGCAACCAGACCTGGGTGACTTAAGGAGGCCATACCATTTCTTGTCCTAAATCCATCTAACGCAGCCTTATCAGCGTCTTCCCTCAGAGTCCTGCAAATAAGCATTGTGTGACTGTCACACCCAGAATCCAAACTCCTTTCATTGCCTCTAAGAGGGATCTGTAAACCATGACCCATAGACTACATCCAGTGCACCTCTTGTTTCTGAACAGCTTTTACATAATAAACGGCTGAAAAACAAGTCAAAAGAAGAATGATATTTTGTAGCATGCAGAAAGTATATGGATTTCTTTTGGCAGTTCTTCAAAAAGTTAAAGATAGAATTACCATATGACCCAGCAATTCCACTCCTAGGTATATACCCAAGGGAATCGAGAACATATGTTCTCCCAAAAAATTGTACACAAATGTTTGTAGCAGCGTTCCCCAGTAGCCAAAAAGTGCAAACAGCCTGAATGTCCACCAGCTGATGAATGGATAAACAAACCGTGGGCCATCAACAGAAGGAATGTTATCTGGCCTGCAAAGGGGATGGGTGCCGACCTAGGCTACCATGGGAATGCACGGGAAACTGGTCCAAGAGAGAAGCCAGATGCTAAAGACCACACACCATGTGACCCCGTTCCTACCGAGAACAGGCAACTGCACAGAGACAGGAAGTAGATCAGTGGCTGCCAGGGCCTAGGAGGGAGGGCGACCATGACTGGCTGTTAACGAGGGTGCKATTTCTTGATGGTGATGAAGTGTTGTGACATTAGCTAAGGAGATGGTGGCACAGCTTTGTGAATCTACCAAAAAGCCTATGATGCACATTACATGAACTGTATGTTGTGAATTAAATCTCAAATTTGAAGAGTCTATGAATTTCAGATTTCTGTCCCTATAAACACAAATTTCTTGGCTCACTGCCACACCCATTTGTTGATATATTGCTGACTGCTTTCTACTGCTGTGGAGAGCAGAGTATCTCRACAGACAGACAGCAAAAATGAAAATCTTTGTGATCTGACCCTTTAGAGAAAAATCTGGGTGACCTTGTAGACACTAACACCTGCACTGCCTGGTCCCCACCAACYTCATCCCTGAGAAGTCCTCCCGTCCCTCTGCCTAAGCCACCTACTTCCTTGCTCTCCCCTCTTCCTCGAGTGCATCAAGCTAGTTTCTGCCTCAGGGCCTCCACCTGTGCTGTTCCTGCCCCTGGAATATGCCTCTCCCAGTTTCCTGAGTGCCTTCCTCCAGTTTGTCACCTCTRTTTTTGTTGGTTTGCTTGCTTCGGTATTAGGAACTGAACCTGGGGCACTTAACCTGGGAGCCACGTCCCCAGCCCTTTTTATTTTTTATTTAGAGACAGGGTCTCCCTAAGTTCCTTAGGGTCTCACAATGTTGCCAAGGCTGGCCTTGAACTTGTGATCTTCCTGCCTCAGCCTCCCAAGCCGCTGGGATTACAGGCCTGAGCCACTGCACAGGGTTCCAAGTCACCTCGACTAAAGGGGGGCACCACTGTGCCTAGTGTTTGTCACCTCTTTTTTTTGGGGGGGTATACCAGGGATTGAACTCAGGGGCACTGAGCCACACCCCCAGCCCTATTTTGTATTTGATTTAGAGATAGGGTCTCACTGAGTTGCTTAGTGCCTCGACATTTCTGAGACTGTCTTTGAACTCATGATCCTCCTGCTTCAGCCTCCCGAGATGCTGGGATTTGTTGGCTTTTGTCACCTCTTTAAAAAGGCATTGAGTTAAGCCAGGGACAGTGTCACACAAGTGCTGCATTCCCTTACTTAGGACATGGAGGCAGGAGTGTGGCTTGATTCCAGAGGTTCAAGGCCACCTGGACAACACAGTGAGACCCTGTCTTAAATAAATAGATAATAAATTTAAAAACCTCCCTCTTTCAAAATTAGATAAATGCAGGTGAAAACTAAGCAGTCAGAAGATCAAAAGCTTCCCAACATCTTCAGGTGAGACTGGGAGAAGGTGGGAGTGCAGAACTGTGTGACTCTGAGCAGGGGATGTGGCAATACCTAASGAAGCCACCTGTGAATCAATCCTTTACCTCTAGGAATTCATCCTGAAGGCATCCCTCTGATCCGGTGGAAAATCAGATGCACAAGCAAACTCACTGCAGCATGATTTGTAATTGGAGAGGCAGGAAATGCTCTCGTGGAGATGGAATCCACTGTGGCACATCCGTCCAACCAAGTGCTGTGCCTCAGTGAAACAAGGAGGGAGACCTCCGGGACCCAGGGCAGGGTCACAGTCCAGACCACACCACCAAGCGCCAGGAGCAAGGCAACTCGTGGGCCTGAGTGCTCAGCAAGCTGCCTCTTAGGCGGGAAAGAAGYGTGCTTGAAGATACAGGCGTGCACCTGCTTCTCTGCGGAGAGGCGCACAGGAGGCAAACGGGGTGGGTGCCAACCAGGAGGAGAACAGTGCACCTCTGAAACTAGGCAAATACTTTATATTAAAAGAGAATCATCCAGATGGGGAAAACTGAAATTAAAAATAAGCAAATAAATGAATCTAACCCTATATTAAATTAAAAATATGGCCACAGTAGGAAGGAGCACAACCTAAGTGTGTGTATGTGTGTGTGTGTGTGTTTGGGGGGGGGGTGCTGTGGATTGAATCCAGGGCCTGTGCTTGCTAGGCAAGTGCTCTACCACTGAGCTACATCTCCAGCCCCCAAGCAGCTTTTAAAAACAGCACTTTGCCTATAGATATCAGACTAAAGACCAAAGACCTACAAAGTAATCTATCTTGAGCCTTTCTTAGTAGATTTTTTTTCAGGGGGGCGGGGGGCGGAATCTAGGGTAGCAGTTCTGAAGTTATTTCATGTGCATTGTGAGGTTGAGTGGACCCATGAATACACTGATGCTTCAGGGAATGACAGCTTCTCAGAAAGAAGAAAGGTACAAACAAAGTAAGGCAAGAAAACTCATGTACTGTTTTGATATCATGATAAGCTCCTGCTCCTTAAATATGTATGATTTCCCAGCCTTCTGACCTGAAGGTCCTGACAGTGGCACCCCGAAAAGCACTGAGCACACTGAGCCCCCCTGCTCTTGGTTCCTAATGTCATTCCTCACTAAAAGGAACT